CAGCCCACGCGTGCTGCCTCCTGCCACATCCCTCCCCAAGCACAAACACCGAAAACTCCCCCCTCCTTTGAGCCGCTTTGACCCACGCGGGGATAAAATGCGAGCAAGGCTGTGACCTTCCTCTCCTGCCTTCCCTGTCCCAGGGGGTGTCCGGCAGAAGATGCCCAGATACTGTGAGGTTGGGGCAAGAGCTAAAAGCAGGGACCCCCAAGGAAAGCCAGCCCCCGAGGCCAGGAATAACTTCATCTCCGGGTGCAGGAGACATGCCAGAGCCGTAACGGAGAAGGTTTACCCTGGCAAGCCGTAGGGAAACGAACAACCTTGGCAAAACAAGGTCAGGTGGAGGGATGGGCCCCTGCCACCTGCTTTCTTGGAATTTAACGTGTGGCAGGGGGTAGGAAGAGGCTGGTATCTCATCCACCAGTGAGGATGGAGCGGGGTGAGGTCTGCCAAGCCATCCTGACTGCCCTTCCCTCCTTGGGAGCAACTGAACAGCTCTGCTGGACTGTGCTCGGGCATGGCAGGTTGGGGAAGTCCAAGACATGGAGTGATAGTAGCTGCTTATCGTATCAGTGTGTTGACTCCAGAAAGTGCTTTCTGGGGCAGATAAACCCTGGGAAAGGCTGTATGTTATTTCCTGCCTCTGTGATAAAATCTAGCCGCCTCAGGCATGCCCCAAGAGGTGGAGCTTAAAAGCTGTTTGCATAAGGTGAGGATATGGCTTTTCTGAGGTTGCAGAGGCACTGGTGGGATTATGCTCCTGGAGTAGCAGCAGCAGAGAAGGGGGTCCGTGGGCGCTGACCCCTCAGGAAAGCAGGGCATCCTGCCCTGCTCCTGCCCCCTTTGTCTCCATGCATTTCAATGCTTGTTGGGGAAACTGAGGCAGAGGCAGCAGCCGGCCAGGACGACTGCTGTAATCATGGGAATGGTCACAAGCTGCTCGCAGCAGTCTAGGCAAAACTGTCTCTGTCCCCAAAATGAAGGCTGGGGACTGGGTGCCTATTGCCACGGGAAGGGAGGAGCAGAGCAGGGTACCAGGAGCACTGCCCATGCCCAGCTGCAGCCCCGTGCCCTCCACATCTCCCCAACCTGCTGGAGGCATGCACGGAGTGGCACAGCTCCACTCTCATGCCTCTCGTGTATGTTTAAGGTGTTCACTTGACACATGATTTCACGTGTGGAAGAGTTGCTACCACCCAGCTCCTCCCAAGCATCACACTTCGAACACTCCCCTTGGTTTCCAGCTCCGGCAAATGGCAGCGATGCTGCTGCCAACACATCCGGGGCAGTGCGAGAACACAGGGCTGGGGCAGCGCCTGCTGGGATCAAACATCTCACCCCAGCGATGGGCTTCAGGCAACCAGTTCAAGGCTCTTCACCAACAGCAAAACCAGGGCCTTGATCTACTTTTTTTAACTGAGCACTGCACTACTGCTCAGGGAGGTATCAAAATGTTTGGCTGTAATGAGGGACTCGTCCGGCCCTTTCTCAGCCAACTCCATGCCTTAAAACATCATCAATCATGAGCATGGCCTGGAAAAAACATTCTGATGCATGGTGTTTACTCATGCATTACGCAGTTTCTTCTTCAGCTGCTGCGTGTGTTTGCACCGCGATGAGCTGCGAGCGGTTGCTCATCGCTGGTTCAGGAATACGGTTGTCAGATGCCATGCCACTTCTGCCTGCAGAGGTGGCAGCCTGCCTTCAGGACAGGGCTGAGCTCTCTTCTGGCTTGTCTTTTTTTAAATTTTTATCTTTACAGGTGACCATAACCATCCCTGGATGTCAGAGCATTTATCTACTGCCCCACAAGAACAGGCAAAGCCCAGGACCTGCTGCATCAGAGGCTGCAATAAACGTGATTCTCAAATAACCATGTTCCCTCTAAAGCCCCGCTACCCTGGAAACAGCAAATATTGTGAGACTGGCAATCGCACTGCAAGAGTTGATTTCCCTGTATTCTTAGGGAAAAAATAACTCTGATTTATTTGGATTCATTGATTCATTATTTAGATGTTTTCTGCTTAGTGAATCAGGGAGAAATGACATTTTGCAGAAAAAAAAGAAAGAAAATTGTAGCAGAGGTGCATTGAGTCATTTCTGTTTGAGATGAGAATTGCAGGTTGCTGCTTAAAAAGTGACCTTTTGATTTTTACCATCACCCAGAAGTGACTGGGCAGGATTTGGGAGGGGGTGAGAGCCCTGGCTGCACTCCCTGTGGGCAGCTCATCTGGCCTTGGTGGCCATGTCCCAACATGCTGAAAGAAGAATTGGCTTAAAACCCAGGATTTTTGGTACACTAAACATGCCTTACTCATGTCAATCGAGGAACATTGTGGTTTTAAAGCCTAGGCGAGCCTTGTGTCACTGCTTTTCTGGCAGGGCCATCACAGAGGTGAAAAAAGCCAACAAAAGCTGCAGACCGGGCCACGTTCAGTCTGGGATTTGCTGCCTGCCAGGGGCTCGCCAAGTCCCCCAGTCAAACTGAATTAATGATTTGTATCCGGGCAGAGCACCAGATGATCACAGTAAGTAATTCTCTTTGTGAGTGGTGTTTTACTGCATGAGCAGTGAGGTTTTTTTCTTTTTTCCTCCTAAGAAGTGACTGAAAAGCATCCTTTAATTTTATTTTCAGCCCATGCAGGGGCTTGGGCAGCGAACAAGCGGCTGCCTTGGTCCTGCTGCTTGTGGGGAGGCTTTTTCTGGGGCAGGAGTTCCCTCTACCATTCACCCTTTTGCCCCTGCACCCCAAAACTTACCCTGGCATCGCATTGGTCTGGGTTGGGAGGATGCTTCCAGCTGGTGACAATGGTGGCATGATTCCGGTGAGATCCTGGTTGGGGGTGAGCAGAGGAGGTGTGGGGCTGGCAGGAGGAGGGATGAGTTACAGTGGGAGCATGTGGGCTTTGTTTTTTGGGATGCTGAGAAGAGTCCTGACCTGGCTGTGCCCTGGTGCAGGCCCAGCAGCAATGCAGCCAGCGCCGTGCCATGCTCTCCCTCACATCCCAGCAGCAAGTGGAGACCCAGGCACGGCTGTAGAGCGGATGGAGCTCGTGGCTGGGTAATAGCAGAGGGACAGAATCTAATACAAGTTATAATATACTGTAATAAAGTTTGCAGGGCTTTGATCCACTCTTTTTTTTCCTTTATTATTTTCTTATTCTAAGCAGCCTGAATTGAGGTGCCTCCAAGCTGCCCCATCCTGTGTCAGGCCTTTCCAGCAGCAGCCGAGCTCCTGAGGGCACACCGGAGCTGGTATCCCCAGCACAGACGAGCCCAGGCAAGCTCCACATCTAGATGAGCGCATCTTTATTTTCAGTTCCACAAATACACATCCAAACTGTCCAGATCTCGCCTGGACATGTCCCCTAACCCACTGCTCCTTTCCAGCTGCCCCTCTCGCCCCGCAGTGGGACGCGTTCCCCCTGCACACTGTGCGAGGCCGTTAGAGGGCATTTGGGTTTCATTTTTCAGTCGTGCAGGATTCTAGCTGTGAAAGTACCGGCAGCGCTGCCGAGCAGCTCTCCTGCGCTGACTCTTGCATGGCTGGAGCAGCTCCAGCCCGTCGGGAGACGGCCCCGACTCATCTTTTCGATTTGTTTTCTATTTTTCCTGCTTTTCTTTCGGCTTCGGCTCGTGGGGTATGTGCTTGGATGGCAGGCGGTATGTCTGGTGCTGCGGAGCGGTGTCTCCTGTGTCTGAGCTCCTCGCTCACGGAAGCCCTGCCAAACCACCAGCGCTTTGGAGAGGAGGAGGCCAGGCGGAGCAGGAAGGTTGGTGTTTATCCTGGAGAGATGTGGGGAAGGTGAATTAGAGCTGCCATCAGGATGCCTCTGCCCATGCCCAGGAAGACGGCTGCTGGGTTGAGGGGTGGATATCATGGGATGGCTGAGCTCGTGCACGGTCGAGCTGCACAGCCTGGCGTGGCGGTGACTTGTGACGGGCAGCGCGATGTACCTGCTCCTTCCCTGGGGGGATGGGGCCTGAGGGTTCCCCCCGGGGATTTGGGTGTCCCAGTGCTGGAGGTGGTTTCCTCGCAGCCCCCGCAGAGCAAAGCTGTGTGCATGACGCGGCAGGGGAGCAGCATCGCCTCTCCAAAAGCCCCACTGATCTCGGAAAGGACCAATTCCTTGTTTCTCATGTAGGTTCACGCTCGGGGCAGCAT